TTGCATTTCCCTGGTTACAAGTGATGTTGAACATTTTTTCATATGCCTGTTGCCATTTGCATTTCCTCTTCAGAGAAGTTTCTTTTTAGTTCTTCTGCCCATTTTTTGACTGGATTATTTTCTTTGTTTTTGTTGAGTCTCATCAGCTCTTTGTAGATTTTTGTGATCAACCTTTATCATTAGTGTTGTGTGCAAAAATGTTCTCCCAGTCGGTGGGGTTTCTCTTTGTTTTTGTTATTGTCTCTTTTGCTGTGCAGAAGCTCTTTAATTTGATGTAGTCCCAGCTGTTTATCATTGCCTTCACTATCACTGCTTTGGGTGATGTGCCTGTAAAGATGTCTTTGATGTGCATGTCATGTAGTGTTTCGCCTATATTTCCTTCTATGTATTTTATGGTTTCAGGTCTTAAAAACATCTATTTTTTTAGATGACTGGATCAAGAACCTGTGGTATATATACACAGTGGAATACTATTCAGCAGTCAAAAAAGATAAATTAATGCCATTTGCAGTAACATGGATGGAGCTAGAAGGGATTACGCTCAGTGAAATAATCAGAAGGAAAAAGAAAAATATAAGATGGTTTCATAGGAGGATTATAGAGAACCAAATAAGGGATCAGGGAAAAAATAATAACAATAAAAAAACACAGCACAACAAAACAAAAATAAATAGGGGAGTGGGAGGGAGAGGGATCAAAAAAGAGTGGGAAGAGCACAAGGGACTATGGTGATGGCGCATGGGTGAACTGGTGGTGGAAAATCTATGGGGACTATACCTGAGAAAAGAAAGCAAACATTGTAAAAAAATGAACAATGATGCAAAATATATATAAATAAATTATTTTAAGACGCCTATTTTTACACTTGGAGACACAGTCAGACATTGATTCTTACCTTTCCTAAACCAAATACCTTTTCAGTGAGCAATAGGAGCAGAGTAGGGAGAATACCAAGCCACCTACAGCTCTAATTCTAAAAGAAAGACTTCTGAAAGTTATCAAAGCTTAGACCCGGTGGTAAGACACAAAGCTGGAATTCCTCAATGGAAGGGAAGACTCCTCCCCTCTTGCAACTCACCTCCTTTCTTCTTTCTTTTAATGTTATAGAACACCACCACCCAGCTCCTTAAAAGGTTTGAGAAGAGTTGGAAAGAAATTAATTTGCCCCTTGAGCTTCGGAAACAGATTAACCTACTGTACTGCCACAGCTCTGGAGGGGAGAGAAAGAAGATAGTACATAAAATGTCCAAAAGGTGTTTTAATAGACCCAGTGCTCTAAAAGTTAACACAAGATCAAACAATTAAAAATGAAAGGACCACACTACATTCATTTCCACTACCTGTACTGCATGGTCTTTTATAAACATTCCTGTATACTGTGTTTTCCCCAGATAGACTGAAAAGTTCCTGAAGGCCATCAACCACGTTTATAGAGAAATAAACACAGCTATACTTCTTTTGTAGCCACCAAATTACCTACCACACTGAGTACACAATGCTTGCTCAGGAAATGTTATTGACCAATTAATGACTAAGTATTTAACTACTTTTCTTCCCTTCAATATTTTTCAGGAGTGCTTATTATTCACAAAACTATGCAGTCTTGGAAGCCAAGAGGAAATATCCATCTATTGGTATACATTTTCCCTTGGCTATGCATTAAACAGAGATTTCCTCTGGTAATGTGAACAAAGAGTGCCTGATGAGACAGAACAAAGAACTATATATAGAGATCAAGTGCCCAGAGTAGAAGGTCAAAGCGTGCCCTATCTTAACCAGATTAAAGGAGTCTTGGGTCTGCCTCTACTTCCCTCCCATGCTCTCCAGCCCTGACCAGAAGCATTTTCCAACTCCCTATCCACTGAATTCTGAAAGCAGGACAGCAACTATAATATGCTGCATTACCACAGAATTCAGCTAACAAATCTGTGGTGATCCTAATCTCTCTTTCTATAATAATAGGAAGACTGCAGCTTTGTTTATACATTCTAAGGAGGATAGAGAATAGGGAGAAAGAACTAGAGGAGGGAGGCAGTATTTATGGCCCCTTTCATGAAGTCAGTCTGTGACAAAAACATTTGCAGACAATAAGGAAGGGGAACAGGTTTGGCAGGAAAATAGCCTATTCCAGTTTTCTCAGAAGTGCCTTAGCTGGTATCCTCCACCCCCGCCCGTCATGAAAGGCCTGGTTTAAACTGTGAATATAGTCATCCTATAGACCTATCTGGATTAGATAAAATGAGAAAAAGCCCAAATTAACCTTCAGTGTCTGACTCTCATGACTGACAGTATCTTACCATTTATGTCATTTTATAAAGTATTTACAAGCACTTATGAAGTCTCAAGTCCCTTCTTTAACTGCATTTCTAATCCTGGGGCTTGTCCTGAAGGCTTTTGAACATATAGGCTCTGTGTTGAATGTGTATAATAAGTACCCTGGGTTCACCCTATTATTATGGGAAGTTAAGGGCACATCTCTACCTTTCAGAAGAGATGATGTCATAGAGAACAGTCATGGTCCTCCATAAATCACCCTGTAGAGTCCCTATCAGAGACAGAATCTTAAACTGAATAGACTATGCAGCTAACTCCCAAAATACACTTTCACCCTTGACATGCAATGCAGTGTCTCACAATTCTTCGGCAATTCTCAGTTAACATTCTAATTCTACGTAATTCCACATGGGTCGATTTGAGTAGCATGCAAGCCCTCACAGACTAGATACCATGCATATGCTATTTTCATTGGAAATATTAAATGTCATACATACATAAATATTATGTCATACATAAATATTAATGGTGAGCTTTTGGGTAGCCAGAGCAGACAGTGGCCTACAAAATAGAATTTAATAAGCATCCCTAAGGGAGCTTCTTAAACACCGCCTTTGCTGGTTCATCATAGGGCTGGCTCATCCCTCCTACTTTGGGTTTTTTATTTGGTAGACCTCGTGTCATCTCCTTAAGGCTCAGGCAGGAATACTAGCTTCAGAAAGGTACTGTTTAAATATCGCCTGTTACCTAGAGGGCCAGAATGAGTCTTCCTCTATTAACACAATGACACATCGTTTTATGAAACGAGTTCCTTGCCACTTGAAAAAAGTAGGGTCCAGAATATAAAAATTTGATTGGTGCAATGGGTTGGGAAATGTAGAAACAGAGCTACTTGAGTGAGGCTGGCCAATGTGACAAACTTCCCAGAGGCGAGATGATATTAAGAGAGTTCCTAAAGTGAATAAGCAATGAAAATAAACTCCTTACTTTGCTAGATATACTACAACTTGCTCTACACTTAATAGTCTTTTTAATGAGAATGAGGAAGCTTATGATTACAATTTCTAACCATCGTTTTATTCACTATTAGTTGTTACTCCGCCCTCAATCATGCAAATTCTAACCCAAGAGATTCCTTATCTTGTCCTATGCTTATAATACTCCCTTGTCTCTTCACTAGTGTTCATTTCTTATAATGTAATCTAAAGACATAATCAGAAGCTTTGATAGATTAAGACACAGAGGGATTCTGACTAAGTGAAATCCACTCTAAACTGCCTTCTGTTTTGCTTCTCCTTTGTTGTAAAGTATGAGACAGGAAAATGATGGGAACAAAGAAAGTGACAACCATTCACAGAATTGTGACCTATGAAATCTGGAAGAGACACTGAAGGTCAGGCAGTCAGCTCAACTCCTTATTTTATAAGGATTTTGAAACCGGGAGGCTAAATGTCTTAAGTTCATACTACCAGTTAATAGTAGAGTCAAATCTAGAACCCAGTTTTTCAACTATGTTCCAACATTCCAGTGTTTTTTTCCTTTCCATTCCCTGTGCTTTTTCCTATTTTCCCCACCCCATTTCACAATCCCACACCTGAGTATAACCAACATCCTACATGCCTTACATACAGCACCACTCTCTTCACAAACGGAGTGTCCAGCAGCGATTAGGTTGCTAAAGGTATTCTCATGATGCAAATACTGTAGAAACCTAATACCCTAAGAAATTCAAACAATCAGGAGTGTCTACTCATATAAGAGATTCTTGGTCTTACAGAGTCTTCTAACTCTCTTAAATAGGAATACCCGGGTGTGATTGAAAGGTGAGATCTTAATAAAACTATTTTATTGCTTAAAAGTTTTTTAGAAAGAGATAATACATTTATCTGTCATACAAGTAAGATTAGAACTAGACTTTTGGGTTGTACGTAGAATTAGCAACATTTTTAGCTCACCATTCCAATGAGGAATCCTGTCATATTTTCCTTGACCCTGTTCACACTTTAAGCCCTACCACTGCCATTTCAACAAAAATCAATACAACACTATGGTTACAGTTTCATGCTCTTGTGAAAGAGAAATAACATCTTTCTCTTATTACGTCTATGTAAGAAGAAGAGGTCAACTCCATTTGTAACACTGCTCTGAGATTCTAGGTAAAAACTGTAGAAAACCTTTTACTTGTATAACTTTAAAATTTACAGACCACTTTGAAATAGATAACATTTGCTAATGGCAAGAATGATTAGAAAGGTGATGAATGAAGACCAGGTAAGTTACATGGGGACAAAGGAAGAAGTTAGGAAGAGGAGAAGCAGTTCTGATACTATTTTTACAGAAATAACATAGCATTGAATGAAATTTACCCTACCCAAGGACCCAGAAATCCAACTTCCTGATGACATCCCAACAACCTCTTTAAGGAACTATAATGCCCAGTTTGATGAAGAAAGAAACACACTTCATGCCTGCTGTATATAGAAAGGAGACGTGATTGTCCCTTGGACTGTTGTCTCCCCGCCCCGACCCCAAGCCATCACTACCACCTGTTTACTTAAAAAATTGTTATCTGCCACTTTTCCTTGAACAAGCTTCCTAAAGAAGTGAAACTTCCATTCAGTGTTTCATTCCAAATGGCTGAGCTACACTCTGACAAAAACCAAATACTTCCAAAGGATCACCCAATCCAAGTCCTCTGAAAAGTCAAAAGTGTTTCTGTTACTTACCTCAACCTGCTGGCAGATCTGTATTAGTTTGGCCATCTGGTTTTCTAGTTCACTGTTGCGCTTAACCAGGTTGGTGAGGTTCATTTCCAAAGTTTGCTGCCATGGCAGAGAGTGTGAAGCCAGAAGGAAACCGGAAAGAAAGGGGGAAAAAGAAGAAATGTTCAATGAACTTGAGCAGCAAGACTACGTGGAGATCAGTCAATTGACAAATATTTCAAACACTCACTGAGTACTTGCTATGCGTTAAGCACTAATCTAGGGCTAATTAGTAATGCTAACACTCGGGACTATCACTGTTGAGGAAAAGATGATAGTCATGACTTTGTGGATATAGGACTTCAATGACATTAAAGCAAGGTTATGTTTTCTATAATATTTTTAACTTTTAAAGTCCAGTTTTCCCTACTATCTGAAAGGAGAACATTCACAAGTCAAAAAGGTGTAAAGTGAAGATGCAATTACCATTAACAATTACCCCAAAATAATCTACAGAATCATACTAAATAACACCATAAAAGCTAAAATAATACAGACATGTAGTAAAAGCAGGAATGATATGACCACTGCACAACCTGTATAAACTACTTTCTGGGAGAGGAGTTTGGCAGTGCTACTCCCTGCACAGGGTGCATGCTGCCTCTAGAATTGTTGCTCGAAGTCCAACACTGAACACTATTTTCACTTTTCATTTTTTTCATAAAAGATGAAGTCTATACCCAAATTTCCATACTTTATTTTGCTCTCATAGTAATCCTGTGACATGGGGAGAAGAGATACTATTCTCTCTTTGATCAGCCACTACTTTCCAGACACAAAAATAGTCAATTTCACATATATCATTTAATAATCATAATGAACCATGATGTAGGAGATGGCAGCATTTTACAGATAAGAGGCCCAAGTTTCAGAATGGGGACACAGTTCTGCACAGTCCTATAATTAGTATGTAGCAAAGGCAAGACTGGAACCTCTAGGCTTCAGTCACAGCTTTGCCCCAGCACTCCATGATTCTTTGGTCTTTTTGTTGATAGCATTTTACATTTATCAGTAAGTTCCTTGAGAAAAAAAAAGAAAGATGAATTTTTAAATGTGGGATTCATCAAAATCTAACATTGTACCTTATAGTTTCTCCTCTTTGGCACTAAAGAATATCCCACAGAGATGCCAAACACAAAGTCTGGCTGTATCAACAGAAGACATCCATTGCTTTCTAGTACATAGATTGTTCTTGGTACACATTACAAGTACTTTGCAAATCTGTTCAATACAATGTGGTTACAACAGCAGTCAGAACTCTTAGCATATTTTCAGTTGCTTCTCATTCAAGTCTTCCTGAATCTCCTCCTCGCTCACTCACCATGCCAACACCCTCAAAAGTTTACTCCAATCTAATACCCCAACTTCCTGGCCCTTATTCTGCTAGCATTCCTTCCCTTGGTCATGTTCACTGTTTCAATGTTGTCTCCAAAGCTTCCAAAGTTTTTAAGTGTTCAAAGTTCGTAATTTTTGGCTGGGAGGAAAGAGAGGGCATGAGGAGTTGGGAGGACGATGTGGGAAGAGAGTCCTTGGCCCCTTTCTCTTCCACTAAATAGCTGTGGCCCCTTAGTATTCTTGGCATTGTCCATGAGTCTATCCCAAAGCATGAATGCTCATGGATATATGTATTTCTAGGACAGGTAGCCTGATTTCATTTGTTCTCAGTCAGACTGGGTTGGAGAACCAGCTTAATCTTTGCTTCCCTTTTTTTTTTTTTTTTTTTTTTTTGTGGGACCCTCGCCAGCGGCCGGGGAACGAAAAGCTGTGCCACCAGGGGAGGCCCTCTTTGCTTCCCTTCTAACCAGATCTCTTGGTTTATTAGCTTTATCCCCATGGAAATGATTTTTCACCACTTTTTTCTCTTTCATGTCTTTACTTTTTGCTTTCTTTTTTGGCTTGTGCAGTATCTCCACTGGAATTCTTTAACTCCAGGGAACATCTCAAACCTGTCAACTTCTCCTTAGCAACGACACAGGAAATATGGAAAAAGGATGGGCAGCAATCATTTATTTATTTGGCCATGATATCTAAGCTAAGTGTATGTCAGGGTGGAAAGAAGATATGGCAGTTCAGAGATTGAATACAACAAAAGGTATTGATCATCTATACTGTTCAGAGCGCAGTGACCTCAGAGATAAGAGAGGAGGTGAAATTACCGTGGGTCTGCAAGGATATGTAGGATTTTAATAGAGGGGCAGGATGTTTCAGGCAGAAGGAATATAGGGGAATAATATAGAGGACGAGTTCAGGAAACAGAAGCTGTGTTTGGTTAGAACAGAGGGTGCAAGAGAGCAAGTGTTGGTACTGGGGTGCCAGGCTGAAAATGGAGATTGAAGCCCTGTTATATCTTGAATGCCCAGGTGAGGAGTTTGTAACTTATTTTTTTAAGCAGTGGGAACTTACCAAAGACTCTTGAACAAGGGTAATGACATAATCAGGGCTGCACTTAGGAGATTAACCTACCAGCATTATGTGGGGCAAACTGAAACAAGAGAACCCTGGGGCACTGACTTTGGCTAGGAGGAGGCTGCAATATTCAAGGCAGTTTGTAATGCAGGTCTGAGGCCAAGCTAAGAAGCAATCAAGAGAAATATGTTTCAAGGAAAGATTTGTCACTGTCAAATATGCAGAGTGTGCAAGAAAAATGAGGACTGAAAAGGCGGTTGGATTTGGTAATCAGAAGTCACTGGTGCTCTTTGAGAAAGGAGTTTACTTCAGCAGAGTTCTGGAAGCAGATGCCAAACTGTACAGGGTTAAGGAGAACATCAGTAGGGACAAAGCTGAGAGCTACAAGCCTAGGCTCCTTTTCAAATATTTGACCGTGAAATGCGTATGATAAAGTTTTCATTGGTTGGAAGCATCCAGCTTAAGTTAGAGAGTGAATATTGGCAATAGACCCAATCAGCTTGAGATTTCCTCTGGCAGAGTGGTCCAAATTCCTACATGAATAAAAATCCCAGGTATCACAAATGACTGCATTAACATTAGGTAAACATAATGTAGATTGAGGAACACAAGCAAACACAATATTAGATATACGTGTTTCAGACTGTGTTTTCATTCAAACATGGGATTCCATGGAGAGAATGTTTTCTAACAAGTACATGCAACCTGTTGCCACACTTGTCATGAAACTGACGGTTTCTTATAAATAATTCACGGTGCAGAGCAGGACTAAGATTCCTGCTGTGTGCTCCTCATTTATGGCCCAGAACTGAGACTCACAGCTTCTGTAAAGGCACACAAAAAAAATTAAGGCTGAACACAAAATCTGGAGTCTGGTTACACCATAGACTGTGTGGGTTACCATCAAAAAGATATGGCAAGTGGTTATTTAGCTCAAGCCCCCTAGCAATTTGCAAAATGTCAGCACATTTTATCAACACAGAACTAGAACTGACAGGATGACTCTAATTTCAACCTTACTTCATTAATATGAAAATGCTTTGAAAAATAAATCTTTGGCTAATGAAAACACCATCTGTTGATGGCTTTTTGCCACTGTTTTTCTTACATTACGAGACATAATTTGAGGAAAACACTGAACATTTACTTACTCACTTCCTATTCATTTACAAGGAATTAAAGCCTCCCCTCAAATTGGAATTGATTCTCAATAGTAACATATGCAAAAGGAATCAGAGAAATGAAGCAATTACGCAATCTGTTTCTTCACCCTGCCTTATCATGCCTACCACCGCTGAGAAATCATTTCGAAGTAGAAATTCTGGGCCACTCCAGGTTTGAATGATTTCATTGATTTGGCCAAGTAATTATGTTGTCTATATATACTCTGGCTGAATAAACAAAGAGGGTGAGTGTGTGTGTGTGTGTGTGTGTGTGTTGTGTATAAAATCTTCTAATGTAAAACTAAACATGTCTCTCTGTAGCTCTGTCGTTGTCGGGTTTTGAAAAATTGGTTTGTTTTGTTCTTTTCTTGTGCAGTCCGGTTAATGACTGGGCCAGACTCCCTGCGCCCAAGCCTGGTGAGTGTAGCTTTCTCAGAACAGTTGAACCGTGGCAGTGAGAGAGCCAGAGTGGCAGGGAGATTGGAATGGAGATATCTGCTGGGAGGAAATGAGGACAGGAGGTTGGCAGGGGGAGCAGGATGAAGCTCCCATTTCCTGCTGCAGGAGGTTACCTCTGGGTCCCTCCCTGCCTGCCCTGTGTGAGGCCTAGAGAGTCATCTGAGCTATGAAACTGCGAGACCCTCTTCATCTTCGGATGACTACATCATTATCGCTCTCATAAAATTGGACATGTGTCTAAACAACACAAAGAGAGGGAAGATTTGGCTGATTTGCATAACTGAGATTTTAAAAGGCTTTAGTTAGCTACACTGGCAGTCTACAGTGATTCCATTTTTTACCCAAGTTCCAGTTCATTTGTGTCATGTAGATGCAGCCTCTTTGTGTTCTGTTATACCCTTCCCAGGGAGGAAAATGTTCTGCTATTTCTGAGAAAGCCAAGCATAGGCTATTCTTCTTCCAGACAGTATCCCATAAAAAAGAAATGCTTTCTTTAACTGTCTCAAATAATTGCTGGCTTTTTCTCCACTTCTCTAGACTCAAGTTATTTCAGGTAACTTTCTCACTGGCTCCCCCAAGGAACCTAGTGCTACGCTCAACCAGCTCTTCATTAAATGGAGAAAGAGTCCCCTTAAGGCACTCACTTGACCTTGATTCCCGTTTGCCATGCTCCATGAAGGCACATATATTCACTCATATATGAACACACTTTTCTGACACAGCAAGTCCTGAGCCTAAAAAGGATGGTATCTTTCTGTTCGTTCTACTGAAATGTAATATTGCCATCAAAAGCCTGTATTCTCTCGCTTTCTGTAAGGTACAAGGGGAACATGACCTAACCCTAGACTAGATCCCAACTGTTTGGATGTGGGAATTGAACCTGGAATCATGCGGGAGAGAAGTGAAGGGGGGAAAGGTCAACCCACTGCAATCCCAAGCCTTCTCAATTTCCAGAAGACAACTATGTCAGATTTTTAAAAAATTACTCTCCTTTGACATGCTCGTTTTTGACATCCCTGTCTACTCAGCAAT